TAAGAATAGTTTTAACTCCGGGGTGAGATGGTAATAATGAAGGGAAGGGAAATGGGGTTTAAATGCGAGAATAGGGGAAGATGAGTGCAACCTACAGGGGTGTGTGTCAATTCCACTGCGGCACCGCCAACGTAAAAGGTCGAAAGGAGTGAATGATGACAATGGTGGTAATAATGCCGCAGATGCGGTTTATTTATTTAATTATTTATAAGTAGGTAAGTGGGTGCCAAATTGGAAGCTGCCGCAATCCATAGCCTCTAAATTAAGGCCGGAAGTATCGACGAAAATGGAGATAGATTTGCTCACTTGTCGTTGAGTCGAGGTCCAAGGCTTCAGTGGAGGTGAAAGCTAAGAGCTGCCTCATCAGTTCAGGTTGGAACTGCAGGGATGGTGGAATCATCCCTCTCCCGAGCTGACAGTGAGAACAGTGAAGGAGTCCTAATCCCAGCAAAAGGTGTGAGTCCTCCCACTGAGCCCAAACAATTTCCCTTAAGTGGGGTTTTGTCAAAAACATCCAGAAACGGGTAAAATGGCAAACAATTATGGCAAGAAGGCACTAAAGTTAGATGTAGCACTTCCTTCAGACACATTCACAACTGACAGCCGCCTCTTGGGATCTAACAGTTGAATCCACTACAGAAGTCGATAAAAGCGAGGACTGAAAGACAACAACTTTGCGTAAGTCAGCGTTTCCCACTGTGTTGCGAAGTTTCAAACAGTAGAAATGGCGAAATCGCGACATGACGTGTCAATCGAAGAAGATTTGCAAATCAAGTATATGTGAATCTCCAAAAAGCCCATGCTGAGCACTCTAACTTGGAGAGGTGAAACAAAATGGAGCATTTTTGACTGCCTCCACTCAGTAGACTACACAAGTAAAATGTATATGAATGCAATGAAGTAAACCAAGCAGGCGAATATGCTTGGCAAAATCAACATTTTTGTTGGGTGACTTCACAATTGATAAAAAAGGAGGAAACGGTGTTTGAATTAGGCAGTAGTTTATTAGCTAAGACGATTGCAAGATTACCTGTAAGAGTTAAGGAAAAGCAAGTAATGTCCTCGAGAACCGCGGAATAATATGCTTCACAGTGTTGCTTTAATTAAAATATGGCAAATTTTCCTATACTAACCCAAGTTAGAAGCTGTTGGCCCTATATTGACTTCCCACTAACGGGAAAAACATTTCATCCCAACATCCAACTCCACGTAATCACCTGATGGTGTTAAGAGAGTTCGGAATCGAGCCTTACCTCAAGACGGTGGAGATCCCCTAACCCAATTCAGCCTGCTGAAATCACTGCAGCTGCATTAGTTCTCAACCCCTTGGTGAGGGTTACGATGTGGTGTGCATCTGTGAAAAAGCTGTTCAAACTCTCTCCGCCTGTCGCGACCATGACTTCCATTTTCGCCGCTTCACAGTAAGTCTTACAGCTCCATCGGCATCCACCTCAGCGACTATTCTCGACGAGGCCCACCACGAGGACTCTAATGCGTTGAGACAACTTTACAATGTCGTCACCGTCCTGGCGTATTCCAACGTTTTCTCATCTCCTATGTCAATTTAAATGAAAAAAAAACCAAAAGATTAGCAACCGCTTCTGTTGACGATCATTAGAACACCAGCACTTATTGCTAACTGGAGTACTGATCAGGCTTTAAAGGGAAGGTGACAGCACTGTCATTAAAACAATCAGTATGCCATTTTAATTATCAAAGAAACATGAGATATGCTATAGTATTTCCCAATGCGATTATAAGGATTTGTAACACAGTATCATAACCCATCCCAACTTTCGGATAAGCATAGATGGTGAGAGTCCCACAAAATGTGTCCAACAATCCGATTAATGCCCCCGATGCCAGTTTAGATGTGCAATCATCTAAGCGATTCACGCACACGCGCATCCTCTTTCCTCTGAAATGCACCCCAGTTAAACTATAGTTAATGCTAACGTCCTTATTCCTTTTCATTCGCAGTTATATAAATAGTGATGAGGGTGAAAACTAACAAGTCCTACCAGTTAAGCAACCAGTTACTAAAAAAGAGACCACATCATCACCAAAATTAGTATCTTTAATCCAACCCATTAAATGCGTGAGGGCAGAGGCTTTGCCCTCGGCTACAGATTGATGAAATATCAATAGACGGAAGTGCTCCATTTACACGCAAAGCATTGTACTGGGCGCGAGGGCATTTGCATATCCAGAGCAAACTCAATGGTAACTCGGGATCAGCAAATGGTTAACAAGTACATATTAGGATGAAACATTAGCCAAAAGTAGCAAGTCACATAAACTAATACCATGGTGGCCAAAAAGTATGCAAGTGACAGTCGCAAAAGCAAAAAGCAAATTTCCCTCTTCAACCGCTGAAAAAATGTGACAGGTAACATATATCCTCAAAAAAGTCGCGACCATTGAATGCAGATCCGTGCACTACATACGATGCAAATCTGCTCAAGGAATGTCTGTTGACCGAAGTAGCCATCATTTGGCAACCTTGTAACCTTACCGCCACATCTGAACAAATGTCTGCGCTACTGCAACAATCAGGCTGTTGCCATTAATTTCTACTTAAGAAAAAAGGGTGCTGCATTTCAAGAGGCAAAATAATACTAAAGTCTTCCCAACACCTACCAGAAAACGCGAGCAAACGCCGAGATTACCGAATGCATGCCCAAAAAACAACTAATTCATTATAACTAGAGAGCATTAAATAATAGAGGGTCTTTTGTGTTTTTATATGATAAAAATTGCATTTATAAAATTTTTTTGAAGTGCTAGTGACTTGCAAACTATTAAATTTGACGTTACTTGCATTAAATAAAAGGTTCCCAATAATGCAAAAATAAGTGTACATAAAAAAATTTTGGTTTGACTGCATTAAAAATTGTTTTATGTTCACATACGTTGACGAAGAAAACATTCTAACATCGGCACAGAAACGCCTCATTTGATTCCAGTTGCGTGTTCTTTGGCTGCTCGAGGGATCGTGGTTCTTGATGCCGTAGGTAGCGCATCGTTATTTTGAGTCAGCCTGCTCGTACGGTGTCCTTGTTATCTTTGCACATTTCAAGGTATGTTTACTTGACTAGTTTGACTTGTAAGACGTGAGGCGAAGTCTTCCTCATATTTGTAGTTGCTTTTCTTTCTTTCTTCTTTAAAGCAGAAAGCTACTTCTTGGAGCCGTTGGCATGGCTGTTGTTTGTATAGGCTTCGTACTGGATTAAAATCTTGGCGTTTGTAAGTTCTTTTTAGCATGCCCATTTTCGTATTTTATCTAAATTAGCTTGAAGAGAGGTGGAAGCATCTATGTTCTCTATTGCTGTCGTAGAGAGCATTATGATGGCGAAAGATGTAGCGTCGGAGGTTTTGGTGAGTTTTTCATCAGCTTTCTGGTGAGATCAATCATCACTTACCGCTCTTTTTTCCATTAGAATGTGTTGTTGTCACTTAAGCATTTGTTCTGTAGTACTCTTTTTATTTTCGCTGGATTTCCACACTTATTTACTCAGACCTACAAATCACTATTCTGCTTAGCTACTTAGTTCGCTTTGATTGTAAACGGCTATCTAAGTCAGCAATAAAGTACACTTAACCTTCACGCCTAACTCACTACCTCAGGTTTACCTCCTTTGAGGAAAGGAAGTTAAGAGATTCTTGCATTCAGTTAAAACTTTTACACCTTTTTAAGGTTTAAATGTACCCTAGCTCATTTGTCGACACTGTTTTGCTTTCTTATTTGTTAAAGGATCCGACATTTGCGTAAGTTAGCTTTGCCTCTTCAAATATTTCCTGCCACATTCTCTGCCAGATTCTCAGCGGAATGTCGGCGACTGCAGTCGGCATTTTATTGTCACGGTTTGATTTTTTGACCACTTTGACCCTCGCTCAAGAGAACCGAATGTGTAGCTCCGCGCGGTCCATGATCAACCTACAGCGCTTTTTACTGACAGAATTGGCTGTCTTTATTTATGGCACAGTTTGGTGCGGTTATTTGCCATAAATTGATTTAGGACATGTTCCGCGCGACGCCGTTGGTTTGATTATTTCCCTAATAGTGTAAAATGAGAACGCTACAGCAGCACCGAGTTGATACATGAGTTTCTTTCCCAGCCTCGATTGAGAACGAAATCTGATCATGTTCGCAGTATTTGACTACAGGAATTTGGTTGGAGGTTTTATGAAAAATGCTTTATGGACAATTTGTTAAACTCTACTTAATGTAATCCCTAACCGCGACAAATAAATGCAGATTTCACACGAATCCGAGGAGAGGTCTTACCACTTTTCAGCCTTTCACCTCGAAAGCAATTAATGTTAATGAATTACGCATGTGACATGTGCACTTTTGGTTTTGAATAATTGGTTGCACCTAGTTTAGAGCTTTGCATAGATGCAAGATGCTTCTAATTGGTAGTGCAAGAGATGTGGTGGTCAATTTTCCTCTTTGATCTTGATAACGAATGTTTGCTCTATGCCAAGTGATACCTCAGGG